CACACGTCATGGCGTCAGTAGGAAGTCCGTACAAGGTCTCGCAACAGATATTACATCCTTTACAAGTAGGAAAGACATTATTAAATTTACACTCCACAACTTTGTTGTAATTCCTATCGCCAACTCTATTAGGTTTACACAACAAAGCATTCATATAAGAATGTAGAACTCGCTTGTTATCAATAGAAAGTAGTTTATGTGGACTTAAACTGATAGCGAGGCGATCTCACAAGAGACCAGCTTGAAGTAGCTATAGCAATAGTTCTCTTAAGGACAATATATCCCGGACATCCTAAAAGACCTTTTTTCCCATTGTTTCTTCCCCACGCTTTCCTTTTCCAAATGATCCCTAGAGTGAGAATACATCCGAAATAATCAATGTAATTGATAGCTCGACTCGCATATTAGTTTTATAACTTCTATTTACATATAGATTGTATGTATTGTGTGTTAATATAAAAACAAATATATAATAAAACAACATTTACTTCTTCATTACTATACAACGATGCAATTAGTATCATGTAATAAATGCACATAAGAGACAAATTTATTGACATATTAAATAAATAATTGTTTAGGACATTCATCTAAAAGAATATTATTTTTATGAACAAAGTGGTTATCACCAACAAAATACAATTATTTTGAGTAAATCATTAAAATATATTTAAACATGAAATTTTAATACAGTAAATGCCGTTTTTACACATATATATATACATAAAAATTGCATCCATTGACCCATATATTATTGCAATTTGCAGCTGCACTTGTTATGCAAGATTATTTAAATAAACAAAGTTGTTCGTTGCAAAATGTAAATCCTATTCCTCAAGGTTGTACATACTATGTAGTATTAACCTCACTATGATTTACTTTCATCTATATATACACATATATATTATCAAATATTTCCATGATCTATACTTAAATACAATCAAGGTTACTGTTTAAGTGAATGGAAATAACCCTGTTATATTTTATACTTAAAACCACAGCTAAACACGAAGTAATGTTATAAGTAAATTTATAATAGTATCTCTTTATAGCCTTCCTTAAAATTAAATTGATTGATACTTACGTTAAAAGGGATTGTATCAGCTACGGGCTCAACTTGATTTGTAAATGCCGGAAGAATAAACGACATAACAAAATCATAATATTGTTACACATATATCAATATTATTTGTTAAATGTTATGCAATTTGTAAGTACCAGGTTACAAAACAGCTAGCTAACGCCCTGAGTCATTTGAATGAAATGCCGAGACCCATAAACTAGACAGTGTTCCTATTCGCGACCCAGAAACTGACCAGCCTCTCACTTTTAAGCACTTAAATCCTTGGTTATATATATGCACAGAATTACTTAGATATGACAATTTGTATGTATGAAGAAATATAATATATAAAAACGAAATATAATTTGAACTCGAGTTATAATAAGTAAGTAATAGTAAACAAAGGATTTGATAAATTGAGATTATAACCTTGATTTGTACACGCAGTTACTGCCAGTAAAGTACTGTCGGCATCGAAAGTTGCTTAAAACCGGTTTAAATAACTATCCCGTAGTTATAAATTCATTGCAATTTCCACTATTACCTCAATAATATATGCATATGAATTTTATTTAATTCTTTTGTTACGTAATTAATTTTTGTAAATAAAATATAGCAAATTAAAAGTTTCGTATTATTCCAACCATACACAATCTTGATCCGCATTCCGTACAAAGTCACATGTAAGGCCTTTCGTTCAAGCTACACGTCTGGAGTTCAGTGTGTTAAGAAACTACTTGTATTAGTCATGACATTGAAAATAATTGTACCTACATATACGAAACCTTATTACTAGACGTTATATTATTTCACCATTCATTGAAATAACAAAACTATTGACATTTAATATACATACATACATACATATGTAACACAATTATTTTCCAATATATCACCCGTGATTAAATTTAATCAGGATTTGGTCAGCGTTATGTTTTATTTATTTCCATAAACAAACAATTTCTTCAAAATAACTCAATTATAAAGATTATTTAGATCACTAGATTTTGAGTCTTGAGAGTTGAGTAAGGTATAACTTTTTTTTTATTAAATTTTATTAAAATTAGATTTGTTAAAAAATAACCAAGTGATGATAATTTGAAATGATTATAATTATAAAAGATATCAGTGAGTACTTTCTAAACATCGTGCGATTATTTATTGCTAATGAATATGAGTAAAGTCGTTCCTAAGTCAATGTCATCGCAGCATCCATACATCCGCTCATCTCGGGTCGACGACCGATGCACGACTGGTATTCATTACTGAATGAAATTGTTATATAACATCAAAACAATCAACAAAGAAACCGATAAAACCTTGTATATTTTACGTATCATATAAAAAAATTACAAATCTTTTTGAGAATTAATAATAATATGCAATCTAGGTATTCGATTTTTAATAGTAACCAAAATAATCTCTCCCAATGTATTACCTCATTACTAGGTCAAATCGTTCCTATTTCTTTCTTTTGTTACTTCATAATGTAATTCCAGTATAAGACGAATGCTTCAGTTTTATTATATGATATTACATTTATTATATTTGTTCATCCAAATTCGTTTACTAGTGGGCGTACCCAATTATTTTCGTCGCTCATAAGCTGAGATTGTCCGAAAATTTTATTAAGTGAATTATCTGTATTTCCTGCTTCTGAGTTACCACGCAATCTTTACCTTTTATGATATACGAGTTATCTGTTGATAATTTTATAAATGATAACATTATTCCTTTTCTGACGACCTATTTTCACATTTTACTCATTTCATGTAATATATATATATGACACACAACAGTGCAAATTAAAACCCGGAACCAACAGACGTTCTTTCTTATTGATTTTGCACCACTTTTTTTGTTACAGATTCTGATCTGTTTGCGTATTACTAATGGCTTCTCATATTTCCTGACCAATAAAGTCAAGGTTACAATTAAATTAAACTTTATATCTTTGTCAAAACCCGCCTCTACTATTTTTAAACTTGTAACTAGTCTATATAATTATTCTAAGACATGTTCTATCCTTATACAAAATGTCATTGAAATACGTCAAATATGACATAACAAATGAATAATAAGCAGTTTGTTTTACAAATGTCCGTAATTATTACTAAATAAAAAAAAAACAATATAAAAACGGATGCAAAATTTATCCTCACTTGACTTAATATTCATTGTCTAAGTGACATTGCGGTCGTTTTGTTTTGAATAAAATTAACTTGACATTTCGAAAGCGAACCGCACGGAAGCAAATTGGATTATAATAAAAAGATCGTAATAATAAAATAACAATACCATTTCTTATAAACAATCAACACTCCTTAAGTAATAAAAAACACTGAACAACATCTAGCATTATACAAACGATGAAAAATTAATTCAAAAATGATTTGTTATGTGATTGTCAACCGTAGTCTAGAGCTAACCTTTTGATCGTGCGTGGGAACTTCCAGTTTATGAATGTGACGCAGTATCTGTAACTTATGTGCTATATTGTGCATTAAATAACATATATTATGAGCATTCTGATACCGTATATATAATAAAGTTAATAAAATAGACGTGAGTAACAATAAACAAGAAAGAAATTTTGAACTTGATATTATTATAGCACAATTTTAAAACGACTAAAAAGAAATTTAACAAATCTTAACTTTTATCTTGTTTAAGAATAGAATTAATACATTTAAATATAGTTTTTTTCTCAAAAAAAAAAGTTTGTTAAAAGTTTATTTAAGACGAGAAAAAATTGTGTTGGTTCAAGGCAATACTTTTTACTAAAAAGTGAGTTTATCGACACCTGGTGTCCTTCGAATCTGAAATAGGGAATGTTTCTAGCAAATACAAAGAGCTCTTAATAAACTATTTTATAAGTAGTTTATCACATTAGAATTATGATTGAAATATGTTTTTATATATTTGATATCAACATAGAAAGTACAATACTGTACTATACTAGATAAAGTATTGTAATATAAAATTAAAATATTATTTTCTTATCTTAACGGTACTTGAGAAAATAATTTGGTGTATAATTATAATGTACATTTGAAGCAAACACGAGACCATAATAACATGTTCATTTTAATAACGCCATTCATCATCTATACAGATGTGAAACATTCCCCTGAGACTGATGCTCATGAGTGTGTGGTCCAAAACATAGGATAATTAGAATATTTTTTATCAACAAAACATTTTATTATGTATGTTAATTAGTTTTCGCAAGAGAACCTTTACACTTGGAAAACGTAAAATTATTATATAAAATAACTATTAGGATCAAATTATGTAATTCAACAAAAATATTTGCAATTCATATATCAATATTTTTCGTTTTACAAACAAATTTATAAAGATGAAATGTAAAACGCTTTCACATATGACCCGACCTAAAATAAACAAACATATGTACATAATAACATATCTTCGTTCACGTAACAGGCTATAATTTACCATATTCTTGAGATTTTTAGACAGAAATTGCCTCAAAACTTTCATTCACATTGTATGATTATCCATCTCTGTTTGAAGTGTTGCGAGATTTTTTGTTGCTTGAGGCGCCGAAGTGTGTAAGTTCATTGCCACGGCGATTATTAACAAGTTCAGGGTTACAACAGCACCAAATTAAGCGAGACTTGTTGTTGCATAATTTGGTAAGAACGATTTAAATTACAATGGAATATGACATTCAGAGAATCTTTCAAATACTTGACAAAACTGAAGTTATTTCATACAACTTTGAGTATTAAATTTCTTGTGGATTCAAGAATCGAATACGTAACAAATACTCGGCAGCTCGGATATCTAATACTTATTGTGCAATGTGTATTATTTTTCATTTCTTCGTATATAAATTTCGAACTAATTATTATCTAATTACACTTGCCTTCAGTGCAACAAGCAACCAACAACAACTAAAAAACCGTACAACATGAAATCTCAGGTAAAATTGAAATAGAACACATTTATAAAATTGAGATTTTTCTTTAAATAAAATCATTTCTTTTCATAAACTTAATGTGTATATTATAATAATATATTTTTAGCTGGCTTTCCTATGCGCCGTCTTAATGACTGCTCAGGGTATGTTTTTGCATCCTGCTCCCGTACCGATACTCTTTGGCCACTACCCTGAACCCAACTATAGTTTCGCTTACGATGTAAACGATGCTCAAACCGGCGACATCAAAAGTCAACACGAAAGTAGACGTGGAGACATTGTCATTGGACAGTACGCTTTAGTACAGCCTGATGGTATTAAAAGAACGGTAGACTATACCGCTAACGATAACACCGGCTTCCTTGCGACTGTTAATAATCAAGCCGAAAACGTAAAACAGGAATCAGGAAACAGGCAATACGTTCAGGATGAGGCCGCAAGAACGACCAGCAAGCCCCAAGAAATGCAACATAGCACAGCCAGCACCGCTTCATACAACACCCAGGGATGGCCCGACAGTGTTAGCGCTACACCAGTACCTGCAACTATTATAAGAAATTCGATCATCCACCCTTCATATCCTAAAGGTCATCCGTGGAACTAATATAACACTACATTTTATTCTTAGACCGATATGTAACGAATTGTTTATATTTGCATGTTATATTAATAATTTATTTTTACATTTTTTTGCATATGGGCACAACTATTTAGTTACACTGCTTGTTAGTGCTACTAGAGTCAGCTGTACTGATACGTAATTTGCTATCTAATATATATAATGTGTTTATCCAACCGAATAGTGCTTGTCAGCGTTGGCACGAACCATCGCCTTATCGGTTTTTTGTCATCTCCCTTTGATCGTGATATTACACGTTATATAGGTTGAAATGTAGCGGAATGCCCACTGAATTTTATTAATAGGCCACTTTTGTCTTACGAAAGGTAAGACGAAAAAATCACTAAGTATATCCAATGCCATACCTTAGTTCAAGCCTCAATAACCTTGTTATATTGTTATAATTGAGATTTGAATGTTCGACACTGGTTAATATTACAGAAAATTCAATTATTACGTGCTAGTTTTATAATATGTATAATAAAAGTTTTGCAATTAAACAACTTCTTTTATTTATTCTATATATGGAAAATGGCAAAAATAGTGTTTGAAATATATACATCTTCATTTTTTTTTAAACTGGAGTATAAAATTATCAAAACCTAAAATAAATGTATTCATAATACAAAATCACTTGCAAATATTAAATTCAATTATAATATTTTTATCATAATTTGATTAAATGAATTTATATGTATATATATATGTGTGTGTGCATATTTATATTTAGGTATATATATTATAGGTTTTTGTCATCAACTATGATAATATTTAAGTAAGTATAGACTTATATTTTAAAGTAAACATCAATAATAAAAGACAAGAGAGCACTGAATTAAAAATTAATCGAACAGCTAAAAATTTACGGCTACTTTGCTTATACGATCTTGACTTTTAGAAATTTCCGGGATAGTTCTTTACAGCAACAAGATTAAAAAAAACTGGATCCATATCAATTATATTATATAAAGCTCTATTGCATCTTACCAGCTTCTTACTCTCTGAATTTTGCGTAGTAATAAACGTATGTATAATTAATATTCATATATTCCTAAGAAGCCTTATGGCTGCGAAGGTACATAATAGTTGATTCTAAAAAGGTATTAAATAAAATCTGTTTCAGTCTTTTCTATAATGTATAGTATACTAATATATCAGATTAATTACCAATTTTTTGTGATGGTCATAGTCGATGTATATAAGACGTAAGGTTTTAAAATTGTGACAGAAATGGAGAATTCCGAAAAATCAAGAAGATTAACATTATAAAATTGCAGTCTTTATTTGAATGTGTGACCTACCGAAGACAAATTTTAACATTTCTTGAACGCAGCATACATTTTTTTAATATCATAATAAGTTACGCAACATAATAATTATTTTAAACAGTTACTCAAAACACAGCAATTAACACAAATATTTGTACAATTAACAATTGGACGAAGGTCAATTGTTTAGAAACGGATACTGTTACGGTCAATAACTATAAGTTAGATCTGTTTCCTCTGTACATTATATATTTATAACTTACTAAAGTGCTTGTCTGGTGGCGTGGTCCGGCAACAATCTCGCCGGCCAAGTTCCGCATAGGCAATAATTGTTTAGTGTTCACTAACGAAATTGAACTCTGAAAAACATTCACTTTGCGTGACCTAGAAGCCATACTTGTCATTTATTTCCTCCTAATAGCGCCGAATGATTGTACAGGACTTAGTATAAAAGGGCTATTGTGACCAGGACTTATCATTCGCAGTTCACTGTGCACTAAAACCAAACGTTTTGAAATGGCAGCTAAGGTAAAATAATATTAAAGTATTTCTACATCAATGAACTCTAACCCCTTTGGATTAGTACTTAATTTTCAAGCTGTATTTTCGAGAGTTTTATATAACTATATACTAATTGATTAATAATTTTGTTAACAGTTCTTCGCTCTCGCTCTCTTGGTGGCGGCTGCACAGGGCAGCGCTATCCATGGCGCCGACTACTCCAGCTTTTCATATGGTGTTGCCGATCCTCACACCGGAGATGTAAAGAGCCAACACGAAACTCGCGTGGGTGACAATGTAGTTGGACAGTACTCACTGCTTGAGTCTGATGGAAGCCGCCGTACCGTTGACTACGCTGCTGATGCCCACTCAGGATTCAACGCCATTGTACGCAAGGACCCAGCTCTTGTTGCCCACCCAGCCCCAGCAGTCGTTGCTGCACCTATTGCACACGCAGCCATTGCAGCTCCCATTGCCCATGCCGCCCCTCTAGCCCTGGCTGCCCACGCCGCACCTGTTGCTTATGCTGCCGGTCCCTCCGTGTCTCACTCCGCCTACTCCACCTCCGTAGCTCACGGAGGAGTCGTTTCTGCCCCTGTTGCCCATGCTGCAATTGGCGCTCCCCTTGCCTACGCTGCTCCCTTGGCTCATGGTGGCGCCTGGGGACACGGAGCCCTCGCAGGTCCCCTTGCTCATGGTTTAGCATACGGCGCTCATGGTCTCGGACACTATTAAATATCGATATAGGAATTTATTTATGTACCTACGTAATTAATAATTATGACGATGGTTATGATTGATGAATGTAAATGCTGTGATCAAATAAAAACTTTTTACAAGTATGTTTAATGTTTTTATCATCATATATTTAAACTTTTCGTGTTTATAAAACTTTTTGAAAGAGGAAACAAAATTTATAAAACTTTCATATACTTAAAAAATATTTAAAGTTATTTTAAAGACAAACTTTATTGAAGCAACAAACATTTCATAAGAAATTTAAGTCATATTTTTTTATCATAATTATTATGAAAGTGTGGATAAGAAAGCAGATATTTCAATTTCTTTCGTTTAGTTTTAGTTTTGAATTTAAAACATAAGATACTTAACTTTAGCCCTTGTAATTTAGGCAAACTATTTTATACCAACAAATCTAATAAGCTTTGAACCTAAATGACGATCCCGCATGTCAACGGGATTGATACCAAAGACATTTTGCAATAAGTAGGTCACGAAAGCTTAAAATATTTGAATGAAGAGTTATTGATAGAGAGAGATATTGTACGTTAATAGATTAATTTATTTTTATCTTTATATATTCAGTTAAACAACTGCATCTATTTATGTAAATGTAAATACTACTTCCTTTGATATTTCTATCTATTTGTAGCCTTTATTATTTGTTATTTAAATATTAAAAAAATATAAATCATATGATTAATTAAAGAGATTTATTGTAGTATGTTTAGTTTTAAAATCTTTGATTGAAGATTCTGTAAAAAAACTGAAAAGCTATACTCGTAAGACTTATATTCCTTAAATACTATATTTATTTTATTTCATCCTCATATTAGAAAAACCAGACATATTTATTTAATACTCTGTATTATCAATATGTTTTGGACCAGAGTAGCAACAGACAGGCAGCAATGCAAGAACTGGAGGAGGCCTTTGCCGTAAGGCACACCGAAATAAGAGATATTATTCAGTAAAATTTGTATCTACTTTCAACTTAATTTCTGTAAATTATTATTATTATCAATAAGTTCAAAACTTCCTTATATTGTAATATTAAAAGTTATCTTTTTATTTAAACCAATTGAACAAAGCTTATCGAACAAAGATTATTGAGCTTTTCAAGCAGAGATTTTTTTGAAAATGGACCTTCTTTGAAAGAGTAGCATATTATAACATTTATATTTTATTAACACATATTTAGTGGAATGGAATATTGCTTCCTTTTTAAAGTAGCCTAAGTTACCCATCTGATAATGGAATTTCAAACATTTTGGTTAAGTCGTTCCAGAAATTAACACTAATAAACAGACAGACAAAAATTTGAAACATTGCAATTTTAATTTAGTTTATATACTATATCATATTGTGTTTCATAAAAAGCTATTGTATAAGATTAATTGTAATGATAGCCAGTAATTTAAAAATCAATACAGATAAATTAAAAATTTGGCATCATGATTTATAAAATGTTATGGTAAAGAGTGATAAAGGTTAAATCAAATTATTCTACTATTATTATGATTTTATGAGAGGAAACATTCTTTTATGTAGATATTAACAAAAAAAATAACACATGAAACTTTTAGTTCTGTCTTTGACTTTTAGTTGTGGTGATTGAATACACAATAACATGTCGATTCATTCATTTTAAATGAACAGAAATCTGTCTTTAGACCAAAGAGTCTGACATGTTTAAAATTGAATAGTGATAATTAATTAATGTAATCTTTATTAAATAATTATTGAACTTATTAAACAATTTCTCATCCCCATATATAGTACTTGAATAAGCAACAACATTGAAAACAAAATCGTAAAATCAGATCGTCTATTTTTTTTAATTTTTATTCGTTCTAACTTTTTTATTTTTGTTTTTGTGTCGGTAATGTTATAATTAATAATTAATTTTATAAACTTTTTCTATATAACAGATATTATAATTATTTTAATTGTGTTGAAGAATATAATTTTAGCAATGAACAAAGTTCTACCGCATATACAGATACTTAATATGTTCAAATTCTATTAATTTCCTCAATGAATTTAGTCAAAAATACATTTAAGAAATTTGATTATAGCCTCCCTATTACGTGTAATGAATGAGTATAAAATATTATTTTCTTAAAACTGAAAACCAAAACAAGCTGTATATGTTCAATAAGGTATTATTAAAAAGCAAAATGTCACATTAGAGGCGAAAGCGAAGTTATTTATAAATTAATAACATGTGTATATTTATGCTACTTCCTAGTGAACGTCGGTTCGCGTAATTGTTCCAAAAGTTCCTGTACTAAATATTATAACACGTCATACGTAGACTACAAAAAATAATACTATATAAAGATCGTGGATTCTGTGAAGACATCAGTTACTGAACGGACCTCAAACAATACAATATGTTCTCCAAGGTACCAGAATGTGTTTTATTCTGATCGAATATAAACGATTTATTTTTTTCTTTTAGTAACCAACTCCTTTTAATGAATAATTATTTTATTTTATGTATTATTAATTTTCAGATTGCAGTCTTCGCTCTGCTGGTAGCAGTAGCACATAGCAGCGCCATCAACGGTGCTAATTACAACAGCTTCTCATACGGAGTTTCGGACCCTTACACCGGAGATGTGAAGAGCCAACACGAGACTCGCGTGGGTGACAACGTGGTCGGACAGTATTCCTTGTTGGAATCTGACGGCTCTCGTCGGACTGTGGACTACGCTGCTGACGCACACTCAGGATTCAACGCTGTTGTACGCAAGGACCCCGCTCTGATCGCTCACGCCGCCCCCGCTGTCGTCGCACACGCCGCTCCTGTTGCCGCTGGTTTTGTCGCTCCCCTCGCAAGATCTGCCTACTACGCCTCCCCCTTATCCTACGGAGCCGTATCCTCTCCTCTCGCCTACAACTCATACGCCGCTCCTCTTGTCCACGGTGCTATCGCTGCTCCTCTTGCCCGGTCTCTCCCTTATGGAGCGTACGGTGCTTACGGACTCGGATATGCTGCTCGGTTAGGATGGTAAATACTGAAGATAAAATGCTGTGATTGTTAAAAAAAAAGATTAACTTAATATGGTAATTGACTAAAATAATAATTTAAGAAAATTATCAAAATAAAGAAATATGAAAATAAAAATGAATTATATTTGAAAATCCTTACTAACACACATAAGATCGACTTTAAAGGAAAAAACAATAATTTAGAGATAGTAACAGTTTAATCATAGGTTTCTTGATTCAAATGTTAAACAATAGAAACGAATTGCTGCTCTTATAGGAATCAAACGACGTACGATAATTTACTTATTTGTATTCCTCTTGGTGTATTATAAATATAAGAGCAACGTAAATAATAAATGATTCTTATATTTAATTTTGTTGACAATAGCAAGAATCTTACATGGACTATAAAAACGAAATACCAATAAACCCTAAATAAGCAACATCTGATAACATGAAAAGTTTAGGACATATTGCAACAATGAATTTCATTTTTTAAATATGTATTTTAACTGTTATAAATCTTCTTTCCTTGTTTTTCTATTTGTGGGACTGATTGTATGTAATTAAAATCAGATTTAATGTGATTTTATTACTACAATTTCGTTTTTTTTAAATTAAAGACTATTAATTATTTATCATGTAGTATATTTTTTTTACCTTGAGAATTCATATAATAATAGATTAATCACGTATTATACCATGATAAAGTAAATCTTGTGTTTGTAACAGATAGACAGTTGTGAAGACAAAAAGGAGAATAATTAAAAGAAAAGCAAAAATGCTTGGAGCAACGAGACATTTTATAATATTTCTTGTATGTAATAATTTAAGATAAATTTAAATAATGTTAATACTATTAGTATAGATTTTACTGTTATTAATTATTTTAATACAAAAATTAATATTTATATTTATGATTGCATACTGTTAGGTCTTTAGGATAAGATACAAAATACGTAAGTACCTAACTTTTATGGCATGTTATTTGCTTCTAAAAAATGCTTAAAAATATAAAAATTGAATTCTAATTTAACAAAGGAAGGTGTTGTTACCTTGTGCCAATGACGTAGCAGTCATTTGCTAGTAATCACTTCTCTTTCTACGGTGGTATAATAATTTGTCTTAATAACTACTTATACTATATAGTGGTAAATTCTTATAGTTTAATGTCCAAACAAATGGTCTACTGATGTCAAGTTATATCCGTTATGGTACCGAAAATTTTCATATGTACTCATTTAAATACAACTAAGGATTTCTCTGTTAAGAAAATATAAAAAATCCGCTAAGTATCAAAAACTTTATTTCATTTGTAACGGTTACCCATGGATTAAATGGTTGATTTCTTTGATGTGATAAAAATTAAATTATTAAGTTGCAAGTGATCAATCTTTTAAGTCAAAAAGATATATTTTTTAATTTTCGTCCAGTCATAAAATAAATTATTCTTTAACATACACTTTAACATATTAAACACAATACATGGTTATTTATTCCAGCCTTTATCGTCGTCATATTTAGCAACTGCGTCAAATCATTTCTAATGAATTCTATATTTTCTGTTTCATTAAACAAGAAAGTAATAAGCAATCACATGAGTTTCAATTTCATTATTAAACATTTTTGAAAACTGAATGTTGTTACAAATATTAATTGAATTTAAAATAATATCAATAAAAATATTGCAGATTGTAAAAAGATAGAACAAACATAACAACTGCTATTATAATCAATTTGTAAAGTTTTCTTATAAGGAATTATTATAATTAAGACGCACATATTCGGTTTTTTTATATCTGTATTTTGATAATTTTCTTAACTTATTTTAGTCAATTACCATATTAAGTTAATTTTTTGTAGAATAATCACAGCATTTTGTTTTCAGTATTTACCATCCTAACCGAGCAGCATATCCGAGTCCATAAGCACCGTACGCTCCATAAGGGAGAGACCGGGCAAGAGGAGCAGCGATAGCACCGTGGACAAGAGGAGCGGAG